TTTTTTAGTACTTACAATGAAGAGCATAACTTGATAATGAAAAATTGTCAAACCTTCTCAAAATTATATTAAAGCGCAAGGCCTCTACTTTGACAGTGGCAGGTTCTTAAAGTATCTTCTTTTCGAAGATTATTTTACTTTGTGTAAAAAGTGAGAATGCTTTTTTCCTCAGAAAACTGTGAAAATTCAAACGCGTATAGAAATATTAAAAAGATTCTTTTCGTAACTTTCAGTATGATCGTGAAGATTGAATTTTTTCAGTTCAACGAGCTCTTCTAAAATTTATTGTACGATTTTTTTTTTCTTTTCTTTTGTAACCATTTTATTAAACTTGAAGTTCAAGTTAATTGTTCTTTTAGGATCTGGAGTTTATCGAATCGGTAGTTCGGTAGAATTTGACTGGTGCGCTGTCAGTTGTTTGCGGGAGTTACGAAACTTGGGAAGAAAAACGATCATGGTGAATTACAATCCGGAAACAGTTAGCACTGACTACGATATGAGCGATCGATTGTACTTCGAAGAGATATCGTTCGAAGTCGTAATGGATATTTACGATCACGAATGTCCGGAAGGAATAATTTTATCGATGGGCGGTCAGCTGCCAAATAACATTGCTATGAACCTTCATAGGCAACAAGCTAGAATTCTTGGAACTTCACCGGAATCTGTCGATGGGGCTGAAAATCGTTTTAAATTCTCTCGTATGTTGGATGGCATTGGAATTTCGCAACCTAGGTACATTATTATTAACATTATTAAGGTAGTTAAAATGTACATGTACGCTATTTATAGAAAGGTATTTAAAAATTAAGTAAAGAAACTTCAGTCTTAAGTTTCTTTAGATTTTAATTTATCTTATCTCAGTTTTTATCAAATTTCATTAATATGAAAGACGAGGGAAGTAACGTTTCTCTTATACAGGATGATTTTACATGGAAAAATTACACTTAAAATATTAGCTTTACTTCCCAGAAAAATTGCTATGAAAATATATTTGACTTTGACTTTGACTGATTTTGATAAGAAAAATTTATTTCCCACATCTTTAACATTTGCTTACTTGTTCAATTAAACATTAAACGTACAAACTGAATGTTCAATTGTTATTTTAATGTAACTACAATGTGTGTCTAGATGGAAGGAGTTAACTAATTTAAAATCTGCTATCGAGTTTTGCGAGGAAGTCGGTTATCCATGTTTAGTGCGTCCTTCTTACGTATTGAGTGGTGCTGCAATGAACGTGGCTCATTCGAATCACGATCTCGAATCGTATTTAAAAAGCGCGAGTGAAGTGAACAAGGAGCATCCAGTAGTTATATCGAAGTTTATTCTCGAAGCGAAGGAGATTGACGTCGACGCAGTTGCGTACGATGGAATTATCCTTTGCATGGCGGTATCAGAACACGTGGAGAACGCTGGTGTTCATTCGGGTGACGCTACTCTGGTCACACCACCACAGGATATCAACGCGGAAACACTGACGAAGATCAAAATGATATCCAAAGCTATTGCTGCGTCTCTTGGTGTCACTGGTCCTTTCAATATGCAACTTATCGCAAAGGTAACATTTTTTTATCAAAACATAGTTTCTAAATTTCAATGTGAACTATCATTTCACTTTAATTTGAATTCCCGATCCTGGATGCCTTAGTAGAAATCTTGATAAAAAAATAATAAATGGTATTCCTCACAAATCTCATTTTAGGATAATGAGCTAAAAGTCATCGAATGCAATGTTCGAGTGTCGAGATCTTTCCCGTTCGTGTCGAAAACTCTAGATCATAATTTCGTGGCTATGGCCACGCGATTGATCGTCGGAGAGACTGTAGATCCAGTGGACGTACTTGCTGGATGCGGCAAAGTCGGTGTCAAAGTACCACAATTTTCTTTTTCGCGTCTTGCTGGTAAGTACACCACGTTCCAAAAATATCTAAAATTCAAACTTAAAATATTTCTCAACACCTTAAAGTAGTACTTTATTCACTTGCTCGATAATTATTTCTTTCAAAACTCTAACGTGCTCCAAAGCTTTGAGTGCAAGACTGCACGCCAAAAATACCTAATTAAAACCAATAAAAAATAATATGTATAGGAGCTGATGTGATGTTGGGTGTAGAGATGGTATCTACAGGGGAAGTAGCTTGTTTCGGAGACAATCGGTACGAGGCTTACTTGAAAGGAATGATAAGCACCGGTTTTCACATACCGCAGAAAGGCATTCTGCTTTCAATTGGAAGTTTTAAGGTATTGTTCTTAATTATCTAGAGACTTAATAATTGTCATCAACGATATTCTGAGAGCTGACATTTCTTAATTGCAGCACAAAATGGAATTGTTACCCTCTATTCGTAGTCTTCACAAAATGGGATATAAATTATACGCCAGCATGGGGACAGCAGATTTCTATACAGAGCACGGAGTGGAGGTAAGCGTATTCCCTTTTAGAAATTTAAATCGTATATTTAAATATTTACAATTACAATTTCAAGTTCGGACAACTTAATTTAACATCAAGTATTAATAATTTAATACTTTCGCTACAATTAACTCACACATGATTGCGTCGTTTTAATTATCTACATTTTAACGTTTTTGATACAACTGTTGCGTTTCGAGGAAATAAATTAAAAAGACAGATAGAAATTGATGGACGACTCTGAAAGTGGAATATCTACTATGTTTCTATTACGAAAGAAATTTTAATTGATAAACAATTCCACAGTTGTTGATTCTATGAAATTTAACATTTTTCTCCGTCGTTGTTTCCAACTTTATTATATATTTGAGAATCAATAATTTATCTTGGGAATCAATAATTTACTATATATTTGGGATCAATAATAATCAATTATATTAAATAACTATCATATATCAATATCAAATAAAAAAGAAAACTAAATATTGTTCTTGGCAAGAAGTTTTCGATCAAACACAAGTATTACGAAAATATTCAAAATGTTTGTAAATTTAATTAATTAAGATCCAATTTTCTCATGTATTTTAAACAAATACGATAGTATTTTCTATACTGAATGTTTCAATGTTTTTTAGTACTTTCAAATGTTTGCGTTTTAATTAAAAACTTTTCGCCGAGGTTATAGTTGACTCAGCAGCATTACTGAACAATTAAAAATGCAATTAATAAAATGCAACGTATGCATAAATAGTAGCGAAAGTGTTAAATGAATTGTCGATTGAATCCATTTATCTTATCGTTCAAATGAAAACTATAGGCAGTGAACAAAATTAATGAATACTTATTATATGAACTCTAATTATACAGAGTGTCTCAGGTTTTTTCTACTGAATTAAAGCTATTAAAGCTATTAAGTCAATGCAGAGAAAACATCGTTTTTAACTATTTAATTAATGTAACTATATCTACATGAGTACGATTTTTCCATTGGCAGATTTCAAATTTACAGAAATTAACTATTTTAAAATTAAAAAATTCTCAGAACAAAGTTATTACAGAGTTTTCCATTTGCAGTCTCTTAATTAATTTATGCCAAGATTGTTAGGACACTTCTACATATAAAACTACATAAAATCATAGGAATATTCTGATTATTCGTAGCAATTAATAATAAAGTTTCGATATTTTTATTATAAGTTTTCCTAATATCGAATATATATAATCTAAAGAAACTTTCTTCTTTCTTTATCTAATTTCGAAGAAAGGTCTCATACGTAACTAATATGTAGTATACTCTATATAACTAGACTTATATACGTAAAGTACCTACGTATATATTGTACAAAATACCTGGGATACCCTATATAAACCGTCTGTTCTCCAGTCATTCAGAGTTCAGATAAACGGAGTTTCGCTAAAACAATCAATCTAATCACGTCTAATAATCGCGTCCAACATTCCCTAATTAGTAAGTATAAATAAATTACCGACTACAGTACAATAAATTACAGATTTATCAGAATTACATGCTAAAGTTTGAGAAATTTATTAGACAACGAAGGAGTCACTCGATAGTTTCTAAATATACGTGGATTCGTTTCCTGCAGATTCTGACAAATGTATAACCGGTGTCATTACCGGTCGATACTCATCGCTATTCTCGCTCGTCGAATTAGCCGCATTGTTGCTCGCCACATCTAAATTTAATTTGTCTACATCCTCGTAGTGTCTCTCGTGAACGATCGCTTCAACATTTTTCTTATCATCGGTCCTCTCCTCCGACAGATCCTTGTTCGACTTCGGGATTCTCTCGTGAACTCCACTCGACGAATTCTTTTCATGAGTGAAACGATCGTTCAGAGGGGCAACGTATATAGCGTTCTCCGGATTCCTCTCTGGTGTTTTTGGCGGATCGTCCCTTGATTTCAATGTGGTTGCCACCTTCTTCCTGATGACTTTGATCTTGTCACGATAAGCCCGAGCATCCTCCGTGTATCTCTTTCGCTCGGAAAGTAATATGGACAGTCTGTCCGCGTGGTCCAGGTAAACCTTTTTCTGCCGATATGCCTGATACTGGTTACATCGTTCGGCTATTTGTATGAAGTGTTGTATGAAGAAGCCAAGGAGAACGCATAACCTTGGCCCCTCCAACTCGGCGCAACGTGTCTGCAAAGAGAATAGAGACGATCGATGCGATAGTTTCTAATTCGTAGTCTATCATGGATCAAAGGTCACTGATACGTGTAGATAAGATTAAACATTTCCGAGAGTACAAATAAATTCGTTTGACTATGCTTTTCCTCGTCGAATGTTAAATCGAATAAATAAACGTTCGAGATCTGGATTTCTTTACAAGAATTTGGCCATTAATTCTTGGACAAATTCAAAGAATCGATCAATGGTCGTTGAACGTTTCTCGAAACGAAATGCATCACTGCGATGACGAACGCTTCAGATAGACGCTTATCAGAAACCAATGCTTACCGAGATTTCGATGATAGAGTCGGTGGCCTTGCGAGGATTGATTAACGGAACCGATTGGACGGAATGTTTGTTTCGCTGTCTTTTCACCGTGTCCCAAAATCCTGTCCTGTTGTATCTCCCGTCCAGCGAGGCACGATCCCCGTACGACTGATTCTGGTTCACCGGATTCTGGACATGCTGCGTCAGTTTCGGATTAACCAACGTCAACGTGTCAGCCGTCAGTATCTTCAGCAGCATCTCGTAGTCCAGTCGCGGGAACAGATCGTCGTTGTACCGGATATTCTCCATGGCATGGAACACATACATCACAGGGTTCTCCGTGATACGTTTCAACTGTTTCTGCGTGTGCAACAGGTGTTCACAGGGTATCCTCTGAAAGAGGTTCCTGTCCTTGATGAAGTAGTCGTCGAGCTTTGGCTCGTTCTGGCTTATATTGTAGTACAGAGAGTACAACAGCTTCAGCAAACACTCTCCCATGCCGCTGTCTGGCCATTTAGACGGATTGGCGTTCTCCTCGATCATCCAGAACAACTTGTGCCTGATGTGCGCTGTAGTCAAGCCGAACATAGTGTCGAAGATCGGCCTCATGAAGGTCTTGTGCAGCATCAGGGTGATCAAGTACACTTGGACCTGAGCCTGTGTCAGGCAGGTCTCGAGGTATCGTTCAGCTGCCGGGAACATAAGCTGCCACTCGAGGTCCTCGATGAGATTGCTGTTGCCATTCTTCGGGACGAAACTTTCCGGTACCACGTAGCACCCGAAATCTTTCACCTTGTCCACGTCGTTGTGGTTAGGCCAGGTGCCCCGTGCTCTGTCCAACCATTCTTGGGCGCACATAGGCCACTCCAACCAAATGGCGGGAATAATTTCGTACTGTTCTACTCGACTTTGCATCAGAGCATTGTTCACCATAATCTTGTCGCAATAGAGCACGCATCCTTCCCGTTTCACGTCGTCCACGGCTTCCCGATCGAAGCTCAGCGACTCGCCCAGTCGCTGTTGGAACACTCTTTTGAAATGTTTCATGAACTCGGTGTTACTCACGTAGAACAGGTCGTAGTTGTGTCGTCTCAGAGCCACTTTGATTCTTCGTTGTTTGCTGTTCAACAGGTGTATCTTGTCCTCGTTCGGATCGTAGATCTTTCCGTCCGATGTGTACGTCACTTTCTTGAAACAACGAATGGGAAACTCTCCGTTCGTTATCCAACATTCGTCCAGTTCCTCGAGGCTAGAGTTCTGAGAGAATCTGGAGCTACGGCTGGGATTGCAGCTGCTGTCGCTGCTGTACGCGTAATTGTCTGATCGGTATCCAGAACTGTTGCTGCTCGTGTGATCTTGGTTATTTAATCCTTGGATCTTTGATCGAGGCGTTTGCTTCTCCCATCGACGATTCCCCCGGTTGGATAATTCTTCTTTAGACTGGGCCCTCTTGTTCGAACGTCTTCTCTCTTCGGACGAGGATTCGTTATCGTAGTCAGGTTCGGTCGTTTTGCTGTTACGATTTGAGTGTGGAAAGCTCCTGTTCGCGGACACGCCCTCTTCGTCGCATAAATTTGGCAGGGATTTCGTCAGTTTCATTCTGGAAGACTTCAGTATCGTTTGTTTAGATCTGTTTTGCATAATCGCAGAGGCAGATAGGTTGGATCGAGGTCTTGGACCATAGACACTGCCATCGCTGTAGAGTTCGTCGTCGTCTTCCGCGATCGATGATAGGTCTATGTCGTCTTCCTTTATGGTTTTTCTGGATGTTACAAAGTCGTCGAGAATCTGCAGCTGCACGTATCCTATAACAACAAGAAATGTTTTGTATCATGAATATAGACTTAAACAACTGGATATATATTCTCTTTCAGTGTCTCTGAGTTTGTACTCATGGAACAGCATGAAAACACAGAAATTTTTAACTCTGTTTAACACTGTCCATTTTTTAGCCTCATAGCTGAACTAATAACGATGAGAAATTGTTAATATTTAATTAGAAGACGAAATAAAATTTCTTGAATTTTTGTCATTCGATAAAATGGTGAAAAAAAAAAATCAAAAGCATATTTTTAAAAGGTCATTGTGAAGATAAAACTTCAATCTTCAGAATTATAGTGGATCTAATCACGAAAAAAAATTTTTTCCATCTTTTTAGAAACCTTTCAATTTTCCAACAATAAAATTTTCAAGAATAAAGGCATCCTCACTTTCCCACCTGTTACATGATGTCGAAACATCTTTGGAAAAAACGTACTCAGAGTTGTTAAAATACAGGCTTTGCCCTGTAAAATGAGATCAAGTGGATTATCATGTAATATTTTTTTTTTTTTTTTTTACAAAGTTTAGAATATGGACAATTTTTCATTATCAGTGGTGCTCTTCGTTGAATATTGTAAAATTCAAAATTATAGCGGTATTTAATAGATATTTACTTCTCCGAAATCTATTACTTTCCTCGCAAAATAAAGAAAATATTGAAATAAGGTGTTTTTCGTGGATATTCGTAACCTTACCTTGATGCGCCGTTGGCTTCAATAATATATTGTAGATGATCGAATCATTGACATTGCTGTAATGCGATGAATAATTTTGTTCGGTAATGTCGATATTATCGTGAACCGTGTAAATTCGAACCGGTTGCAAAGGCTCGATGATCGTCTGTCGAAAGGTTCGTTTCATTGACGTGAAACCAACATGTCGAGCGATATGCTCTTGAAGAACATCCGGAAGTAGGACGTGCTTCTGCGGCGGCAAACGCTTGTTCAGTTCTGTTTCGCGTGACGACACAAGCGTCTCCTTCACGTGCTTGATTTCTCTGAAATACAATCACTATGTAGGTTTTATTTCCTGCTGGAAATCAGTGATAAAGTCGCGTTATCGAAGCCAGTGAATGTTATCGAAGCTGTTTTAACGTGTCATCGATTGATGAATAAACTTGCTTGCTTGTTTGATCATTCGGAACACATTTTTTTTTTTTTTTTTTTTTTAGCTGACACTATCGTTTATGAATATACATTTTTCAGATTGTTATAAATATATTTTAAATAAAATTGAAGGGTGAAGATTATTCAATGTATGTCATATAATTCTTTTAAAAGAGAGAATTTTAATTTTCATTCGTGATGTAAATTATTTTTTACAATTCTACCGTGCTGCAAATCTAACTTTAGATTATTATAAAATGTTTAAAAAGTCGGTAAAGTCAAAAACGGATATACTAATTTTGCTATTGAGCATATGTAGGTAGTAGATATCGTTCTATTTAATAGTAATTAAATAAAGCAAGAAACAATCGAAGATAATTAGATGAAAATTTATTCCACGGCGCTCGAAGCAAGCAAATTTGTGAATGAATGATAAATGAATGAATGAACGTTAAGTTTTCACAATGATCGACATATGTGTACCTAACCACATGTTGAAAGATTATAATTCTCTGAATTGCATAAGCCATTCTTTATATATATATATCATATTGAAGTATATTTCTTCTTTAATGTTTAACAATGGTTCATCAAAATATTCGAACACTTGTCATAGAAAACTTTTATCTATAATATGCGTAATACATATGAAATATTTTCATTACTACTGTAATAAGTAGTATAATCCAACGTGATTATATTGATAAAATATGAAATCTGTCTGAAACTATAGATACAAGTTATGTTATTTATTGCAAATTTAGTAAAAAATTAGTGTACAGTATGAATAGATTGAATTTAAAGACAATGAATTATAACAAATATCTCGCAATTTTTATGCTGCATTTATATATTATAATCTTATATAAATTATGTTTACATCTTCTATAACTTCTACATATACTTTCAGATTTGTGTCATCATTTTACCAATAAGATTACGAGAGTCGACTCTTATTATTAGATTGCAAATTTTTGCTACATTTACATAATATAAAAAATTATATAAAATATTCACAACACTTTCTACAATATCTAATATCTAAAACCATTTTTTACTCAGATCTTATTTTTTTTAATTTATACAAAAGTGTCTTGTATCACAGTCATAATATATTCATGATATAATCATAATATAATCAACCTTCAATTTGTTACAATTGCTGTATGTTTCTATAAATGTTCGAATATTGAAGAAGCAAAGTACCTCTTAACATCAATCTGTCAATTTAATTTAATATTAAATGAAAATCCTCGCAAACGATAGCGTACAGTGTAATATAAAACAACGAGGTATCTTACTCTTCATAATTTCCAAAGAACTGGACACACATCATAAGATTGTTCAACACGAACATCTCGGGATTCCTCTCCATAGTTCTTCTCAAAAACACCAATTCCGGATCGTTGTACTCCTCCTTGTGATTAGTCACGTCATTTTCGAATTTGTTGCCATAGCCGTTGCTTCTCTCCGCCTTCTTCCGTGACT